GGTGGAAGTCGTTGAGGAGGGATGGGTCCAGTATGTCCTCTCCCTCTGCCCACGATCTCTCCTCAGGACCGTACCCCTCCCAGTCTATGAGGTATTGAAGTCGGCCTCCTCGCCGCCGGGAGTCGAGGATCTCTTTGACTCTGTAGATGGTTTCATCGGAGATGACTTCGGGCGGAGGGGGGGTACCTCATGCTCTGTGGAGGGAGGGAGAAGAGGATTAGTGAAAGGTTTTAGCAGGGAAACGTGGAAGGTGCGTGAGATCCGGTAATGGTCCGGCAGGTGTAGCTGGTAAGTGACTTCGTTGATGCGCCGTGCTACTGGGAAAGGACCTATGTACCGGGGACCCAGCTTCCTGCTGGGCCGCTGGAGGCGGATGTCCCGAGTGGACAACCAGACATGATCCCCGGGTTGATAGACGGGATTGTCGGCACGACGAGCGTCTGCATTGACCTTGTACCTCCGGACTGCCCGCTGGAGATGGACATGAGCTGAGTCCCATACCCTCTCGCTCTCCCGGAACCAGTAGTCTACCGCTGGGACTTCTGAATGCTCCTCGGTCCAGGGAAACAGTAGCGGCTGGTATCCAAGGACACACAGAAATGGAGTTAGTCCGGTGGCTTCCTGGTGCAGGGAATTCTGGGCGTATTCTGCCCAGGGTAGATACCGGCTCCAGCTGTCCTGATGTTCATGACAGTAGGCCCAAAGATATCGTCCGATTTCCTGGATTTTACGTTCGGTCTGGCCGTTGGTCTGCGGGTGGTATCCGGAGGATAAACTGACCGATACTCCCAGGAAGCGGAAAAACCCTCGCCAGACCCTGGAGATGAATTGGGGCCCCCTGTCGGAAACTATGTCTTTCGGAAGACCGAAGTTCCTGAACACGTGTTGGAAGAGGGCTTCGGCTGTTTCCAGGGCGGTAGGTAATCCTCGTAGTGGGATTAATTTGCAGGATTTGGAGAACGATTCTACGACTACTAGAATGGTTGTGAATCCATTTGAGGGAGGGAGGTCGGTGGCAAAGTCCACCCCCAGGTGGGACCAGGGCCGGTGAGGAATGAGTAATGGGACCAGTTTACCCTCCGGCAGACGACGCGGCGTGGTGTCGACGGCACAGACCGGACATAGGTTGGTTCGGACGGAGATCGGGACAGGCAGATCCCTTAGACATTCCTGCTTACAATCCGCACTCCACTTGAGTATTTCCCCGGACTTCCAGGCGATGGTGGGTTGATGCTTGGAGAGCCAGGGGCGTCCCAGGACGATGTCCACGACAACCTCCTCCAGCACCAGTAGCGAGATCCGTTCGGTGTGGAAACATCCCACCCGTAGAATGACTTCTGGCGTGCGGTGCCGCACCAACCCCTTGCCCAGCGGCTTTCCCTGGACAGTGGTGATCTGGTAGGTGGTGTTATTTTTGCAGCGAGGAATTTTGAATCCAGCAAGGCTGCGGGAGGAGATGAAATTTCCAGACGCTCCTGAGTCCACAAGGATTTTGACTGGAAAGGATTGGGTGTGAAACATTAGAAGTGCATCTATATGAGGCATGCCAGATATATCAGGAGTGATTTGGATAGTACTCACCGCTGGGCGTTGAGGACGAACAGGGCAGGCGCAGAGCTGGTGGTCATTAGATCCACAGTAGAGACAGAGGCCACGGGTGAGTCGACGGGACCGTTCCATGGAGGATAGATGGTAATTATCCGTGATCATGGGCTCTGGTGCTGACGGTGAGAGGCTGGGTAAGGCAGCGGCAGCGGGTATGGGATTCGTATGGCAAGCGGTTAGGTGTTGGGAGATACGGACCGCCTTTTGGAGGAAGCCTTCAAGACCCACGGTGTCCTCGAAGATGGACATCTGTTGTCGTAAGACTGGGTTCAGAACACGGCGAAAGGCCGAGACCAGAGCAGCTTCGTTCCAGCCGCTGCTGGCGGCAAGGGTACGGAAGCGAAGCGTGTACTCGTGGATTGATGAATCCGCTTGCCGTAGTTGGAAAAGCTTGTCATGTACCGTAATCTCCGCGGTTGACTGGCTGAATACCTCCCGGAAGTGTTTAACGAAGCGATCCAGCGAGTGAATCCAGGGGCTCTGCGAGTTCCACAAGGCTTCAGCCCACTGCAAGGCTCTTCCGGACAGTAACGAGATGATGAACGCCACCTTCGCCCGTTCCATCACAAACAGGTGGGGTTGTAACTCGAACTAGAGGGAACATTGCAGCAAAAACCCGCTGCAGGAGGCTGCCTCACCAGAGAAGCTCGCTGGCCGTGCCATGGGACAGGCTGATGGTGCGGTGGTGACGGTCGGCGAGAGAGGCTCAGGGGAGGCTGTGCTCCGAGGATCCATGAGAGTCTTTGTAGAATATACTGTAAAAAAGGGGCTGGTCTTCTGTCACATCTGGTCAAGGAGGCAAACAAGCAGAGTCAAGCAAACAGAATATTTATTTAAGGTAACTAAGGAAGGGCTTCCAACATAGGAGAATCGAACTGAGGTGTGCTATGAAAGCAGAGGAAGCAGTCTTATCTGAATATAACTGGTCTGGTCCTTTCACTGATAGCAGAGGATTCCAGGATCGACAGGCAAACAGGTAGGCAAGGGATCCTCTCTGACAAGCTTGCAACTAGTGGGGTACCGCGTAGCAACATCTCTCTTTGTACTTATATCAAATTTGACGTATAGTACAAAAACCACAAAAAACTTTTTTTTTTAATTAATACAACCAGATGTAACAAAATGACATTAAATCATATGCCAGGGAGCAAGACAATAATGTATCTTTTTAACAGATTCACAGTCTTAACAGCTTTCTTATTACTAGAGTCAGACGAGTTTTAAATCTTCAAGAAAATTTCTATAGAAAGGCTTACGTTTGCAAAATTTACATTTATTTATAAAATATTTAGCCAAGAACAAAATAAGGTTGAATAAATAAAAAAACATCTGATTCTTCACTCTCATGTGTAGATCCTTAAATAACATTTTCATATTTCAAAGAGATATCAGGAATTATACCACGAAAAACACTCAATATGTTTTTCCAGAGATTCTTAGTATAATCACAATACCAAAAGAGATGGGACAAATCTTCAGTTTGGTGATCACAGAAGGAGCAACTTACATCAAAGTCATCAGAAATAAACCTTTGTAAAAAAAAATAAAAAATAAATAAAACCTTTGTAGGATAGCATCGATGTATCATTTTATAAGACACTTCTTTGATTTTATTGTACATAAAGAATTTCTGAGGTAAAGTCCACACTCTTTTCCAGTTAATGTTACCTACATGTCTGTTCCAATAAAAGACATGCTCCAATGATAAAGCATTAGGGCAAGAGACTACCTCGCGCTGGAACAGAGTACGAACACTCCTGTTATTTGACTTTGTGGTCAAGGATAATTTACCAACAACTGTTTCAAACACATTAAGATGTGGCACAACATGAGAAAACTGGTTATTAAAACCCTTCATAAACATAACAATCCCAGAAGGAATGGTTTCAAAAACAATAGCAAATTCTCTTGCTGTAACTGGGATTTTATAGTGTGACAAAAATTCCTCAAATTTAAAAGGTATTCCTTTGTCATTAAATAACTGACTAACCAAAATAATATTATTTTTTGCCCAATTATCAAAGTAAATTGATTTATTTTTGTACAGTAAATCTCTATTGTGCCAAATTATATAACTATGTGGGGGGAAATTATGTTTGTAAATTAAAGACCACGTTAAAAGACATTGTTTGTGAAAATAAGTAAATGAATAAATTAATTTTTTCAGGATTATAATTACACAAAAGCAAAAAATTTTAACCACCTAATTTAGAAAAAATAAAATTTGGGATAAAGTTCCATAAAGAGGTAGGATTTTTTAGGTGTTGTTTAATCCTATTAATTTTGAATGAATTAAGACTAACAAAGCTGATAAAATTAAGACCGCCTTTTTCATAACTACAGATTTTCTAATGTAATGTTTCTTATTTTTCAATAAAAAATTAAATAAAGATTGCTCAATTGTTTTAGAAGTCTGAGCATCAACATAGAGTGACGTAGCAGAATAGGCTAGATGTGAAAGACTCTCTGCCTTACAAAGTAAAGTTCTACCCTTGAGAGACAAATCTCTGTGTAACCAGAGATTTCGTTTCTTTTTTGTTTTTTTCCCATAATTGGGGAAAAAATTAACTACACATCTACCTATCCTACATATCCTTTGATACGACTATACCCAAATAAGTGACTTTATCTTTCACTGGGAGACCATCTATGCTTGTCAAAGGACATTGTTTAATTGAAAATAACTCACATTTATTAATATTTAATTGCAAACCTGAAGCCAGAGAAAATAAACTAATGACATTAATAGCTAAAGAAATCTGAGCATAATTACGTAAAAACAATGTAGTATCATCCGCAAGTTGACTCAGTATGACCTGCCTGTCAGCAATATTAATGCCCTGCACAGAGCTTGCCCTAAGATGAATAGCAAGCAATTGTCCATCTAATAGAAATAAATATGGTGAAATTGGGCAGCCTTGTCTGATTCCACGTAGCAAATTAAATCTGGTAGATGAGCCCGTTTTTAATTTGATAGAACAGTTTGCATGTGCATAAAGTGTTTGAACTACTTTGATTAAAAATAGGACCAAAACCAAACAACCAAACAAACCAAACGAGTTACTGACGCTAAAGCGTACTTCCTGGTCTCTCTGGTGTTTTGAAAGATTTGGAAAACACATTCACAATACACTTAACCACTGATCAAACTACATTAAACAGAAATTAAGTTGCTTTTGATGAATAGGTCTGAATATTATTTGAATTCTAAATAATATCAGCTTTTCTTCGCAAAGTAAATGAAAGGGAGTTTAAAATATTCTGTTCTGTTTATCTCTCTACAACACAGAGATAATTGCCAAAAACTAAATTACAAGCATTTTAATGTTGCAAAAATGTTCATCCTTTATTTCTGAAATCTCGCAGGCGTGAACACACCTCTGTGACGTCATGACCATGATTCGGTAAGTGCAGTGAAATGAGATAGCTTCATGAAACTGCTCGCCTGTTTGAGGTAAGAGTCAACTAATCTGTGCACAAAAATATGTTTCAGTGTCTATATTATGAATCGTGGGACGTCGGTTTATGTGTTTTCGGTTCGGATTTTATGTCATAAATGTATTGGTACTGAAAAATCAAGCCGTATTTGTGGAAGTTACATAATTAATTGGCTGATTTGTTGTAATTAATGATTACCGAAGCCTAATGAACCGTCCATAACTTTGATGTATTTGTAAGAGTTCTGTGTGTCACTGCGTTTAAATGTGTGTAACTCGTTACATTTTATAACAATCAATTAGTGGAAACCGTTTAATCAGAAGATTATAGTCATTTGATGAATCTGATTATAATAGCCTGTCTTCAAGTGTCTCTACATGGTGTCAAATGATTTAGTTGTTTTACGTAGCCTATTTTAGAGAGATCTGCGTGTATTATGGGTTTTTAATGAGAGCATGCCAATAGACGGTAAACTCATCTGCACGTGTGTGTGATGTGCAGTGAAACTCTTTAAACCTAAACTCATCTGAGCGGTCTTGTCACATTCCACACACATTCATCAGACCAGTCACGCCAAGCACACATTTATTTTTTATTTTTATTATTTTTTGTAATATTCAGTTTATGAATCTCAGTGGTATTTTTAGATCACAGTACAGTTGTGCTGTTTCATTACTGTTTTAGTTTGTGAAAATGTGCGACAGAAGCTTTTAGATCAAATACTGGTGAACTCAGTTATTTGTTCATAGCTTTATTAAGTGTTTCAAATAGTTCAAGAGAAACAACCCCCCCCCAACCTGCCCAAACCTGTTTGTTCACATTGCTCCGATTCAGTGTCAAGTAGTCACCAAAGTTAGACCTAGGCCTGCAATGTGTTTAGCCTACACATAGTTCATTTTATAATTTTAAAACGATTTGATTTTGGCCTTTTGTAATTTATCAAACTTATTTTGAGCTTTGTTTGTACCTTTACTTACAGCATTCTAGATAAATGTTTAACCTGTTTCTTACAGTCTTTCACGTTTTGCTAAATCTAGATTAGCTGATCTGTTTTGAATCAGGGTTTTTTTTTTTTTCCAGTATAAATTCTGAGGTTATAATTATGCTGATAATTATTTGATGCTGTGGTTCTCAAACGAAATGGAGCTTTAGGGTTGAACCATTCACTGGTAAAATACAGGGTGCTTCTCAAATGGATGGCTGCGTTCTTCCTACGCTAGTTCTTCTGAGGCTTCAAGTCTGAAGTCCTGCTCAGCATTAAATGCTAGAATGAGACTGTGTAGTAAGTATGCATGACTATTTCAAAAATGTTTCTGCCCCTGCCGTCACGGCACGAAAATACTATTAAAATTATGTTAAATAGTAGCCTATTTTATATTAAAAATCTCTATAATAACCGATTTTTAGGGGTGCTCCGATTGATTGGCGACCGATCGCTATCGGCCAATAATCTCTTTGGGAAGTTTGATCGGTGGCCGATCTCATAAACGAATCTCAAGCTAACGATGCGCCTGCCATGAGAGGTTTGGCATGACATGCAGTGGCACAGTCACAATCTCTGTCCGGCACGGGTAAAATAATTATAATGCTGAAGGTGAGGTACAATTCATATGACTTTATTAAATAACTTCCAAAAGAAATTTGAAAACTTTCTGCGAGACATAATTTCACAAACAGTGTGAGTGAATCACTGTGCGCTCTTTCTCTTTCCCTCTCAAAATGCTCAAATAGCTTCAAATCACCACATCGCGTCTGCACTATAAGCGAGCTGCACAGTTGACACAGGAATTGTAACTTGCACAATCAAATCTGTGTCGCATCATCACTAAAGTTTACAATTTGCATTTCTTTTTAAGTCTTGCCAGTGTTTAAACCATTCAGCACTCGCACGCTCTCCTAGAGACGGTTCACTCATGCACACTCAAAGCGTGCACACATAAGGCCGCCTCACATACAGCTCACAAAATCAGTCTTTTCTTGTGCTGTGTGTAAGCTATTATGCATTGTAAAAACAAAAATGCACTGCATGGTCAAATATTTAGGTGAGATAATTATGTAGTTTTGGAAAATGTCCACACAAAAAAAATGCTATCCCTCCACCCCTCAAATTAAAAAATTTGGTTTTGAGGTAATGAGACACCATATTTGCCGCCAGGAATTTTCAGAGTCTCCACTATTAACTGCCTTGTTTCACTTTCCTCCATGTGATTCTGTGGGCTGCCACAGACTCATGACAGAAGAATGAGAGTATTAACAGATTCAACAGGTGCCTTTGCATCGTTAGCACTTGGCCGCTATTTAATAAATATTAAAGTGATATTATTCCCTTAAGATTTGCATTATTTGTGATACCAAGAGTTAATAGTGTAATTTTTTTTTTGTGGTGTCTGAAGTGATTATAACAAGTCTTAGTCACAGTTCCAATGGACTAAATGTAATGATAATTTTTAAAAAAGACAAATGTGTGAGGAGAAAATTAATATTAGTCGAATTTAAAATAAACATTTGCATTTGAAGGCAAAAATATTACAATGAATGTTAGGTGTGCGTCAGGGAGCGTCATCAGTGGAGCACGAGATGCGGTGATGATGATGTAAGTGACGTTGTAGTTTAATGTTTTGTTAGTCTAGCCCACGATACGCGCAGTTGCTGCGTTATTCATTCAAAATATTAGAGAAATATAGTAGCTCATTGCGGAGAAGATCTTGATTAGGTTAAAACCGAAACCAAGCCATTCACACAGAAAGCATATTCAGCTCATTTTCTAGACGGACAAATATGACTGCTGCACTCGCGTCACACACAAGAGATGTATAGAAAGCCATGCAAAGTTAAAACAGTTTAAACTTCGAAAACATGTCACGAATTTGTGGAAGTTTACTCCTTATGTTTTTATAGGCAATCTTTGTGATGGGCGATTCGGCTCTTTGGATTAAGCAATGCCAAGGGTGTAACTTTGGTTTGAGAAGTGGGGGGGACACAAAATGGGGGAAAATGTTTTCAATTTGCGAAACAACAGGCCAGGTGTGAAAGCACCCTCAGTGAGCTATTTTTAGAGTGTGCACGCGACGTTCCTGGACGCTGACGCGCGTCTGTGCCCTGCTCGGTCCTGCTCCTCCGTGGCGATGACGGCGTGCGGTTAAAAAAATCATAACAAACGAATTTGAAAGTGGGGGGGGACATGTCCCCCCTGTCCCCAGTGGAAATTACGCCCCTGAGCAATGCATAAATAAAATAAGTGAAATGACAGCGATGCTGTTTTGTTCATAATTTGTTTATGCAATTTACGAAATTTGATTTGATTTAAATGAGTTAATTTAGAGGTAATGCACGTTTTTTTTATAGACCGTTATCTCCATGCGTGGACCGTTTAATGTGCTGCATTATTTTGCTCATTGCGCCCTCCTGTGGCCTCGGGGAAACAAGCCAAAATTGAACCTATTTAAGCTGCATATAAAACATTAGAAATTAGATATTTGTTTAATTTTTTTTTGTGTTTGACTGATAAAACAAAAATACGCCCTCCTGTGGCCTCGGGGAAACAAGCCAAAATTTAACCTATTTAAGCTGCATATAAAACATTAGAAATTAGATATTTAATTTTTATTTTGTGTTTGACTGATAAAACAAAAATATTTTTAATTTAAAAATACAGTGGTTAAATGTAAAAATGTTTTTGTATTGCTCTGTTTTAAAAATGGTTATAAATAAAAAAAATTTTTTTTTTTAGCTATATCGCCCAGCCCTACTTTCCACTCATTTCCACTAATTTGTATGTTTGTATAATGCATCTCAGACCATATGTTATTTGATGGAAGCATCCAGCCTGGAATAGACTGACTTCTGAACATATACTTACTATATCAATGGCTGACTACGGACATCCTCTGGGTAGCAGCCAATCAGTGAGTGCTCTGGATAAATCAGCGCTCATCTCTGCTGTTAAACCCACACACTCCTGTAATGACAGCACAGGATCTTCACGCCACTCACGACAGGTCAGTGAACAGCTCTCAATATTTCTTTTTGTTCTGGTTCTTAACATCTGAATTGTTTGTAATTTCCTTTTATCAGTTATTATTATCATAACTCAACACCTTTTTTTTTTCTCCCAATACAGAACTCCAGGGATTGGGAAGTAATATCAGATGCAGAATGTTCTGCACCTGTCGCGGGAATGAGTTTGGTCAATAACACTGTTCCAGGCATTTGTGAGGGATTCCTCATGAAAAAGCGCAAGTATCCTCTCCGGGGCTGGCATAAGGTGAGTTGCATGAACTAAGAAAATATCCATGGCATAGAATGACCACCATGACTCACCTAGTGACCTGTCCCAATGTAATGATTTTCTCCTTTAGAGATATTTTGTATTGGATAAGGGGGTTCTCAAATATTCAAAGACTCAACAGGATGTAAGCAAAACTAATATCTCTTATTGTAGTAATTAAAATCACAATGTAGTAATATCTTTTTCCAGCGTTTTTCTAAGTGTGACTTCTCACATCCTCAGATTGTCAGAGGCAAGATTCACTGTGCTTTAGATGTTAGTCTTGCGGTCATGTCTGTGAACAGAAAATCTAAGCGCATCGATCTTGATGCTGGCGACAGCTTGTACCATGTCAAGGTGTGTATATGTACAACTAAGAATGTTATAGTAGTAGTGATTGATGTTGTAAATCATTACAGTAGCTCAGGTTGCCCACGTTAGCTGAGTCTGAGTCAAGTAAATAAATCCTCAATAAATCAAGAGAGTGTCCAAATTGCACTCAAACCATTACAACCAACGGTATTTCACATTCATTCTATGCTTCAAAAAAACAATGCATTAATAATAAAAAAAAAAATTTTTTTTTTTTTGAACTATCACAATTTAAATGACAACTGTTTTGTAATATTTGCTTTCTGTAGAGTTATTTTTATTGAATGTCTTGCACATAAATTTAGTGTTATTTACTTCTCGGGGTGTTTTTTTTTTTTTAGCTAAATTAAGTACCAGCCGTTCAGAACTTTTACTAGCCAAAACAAATAAACCATGGGCCAGATTCATGAAACATTCTTAAGAAAAAAAAAACTTATTAACTGCCATTTTCTTTTTTTAAACTTAAGAAAAAATGTAAGAAAATATTTTGTATTCCCAAAATTTTTATTAATGTTATTTTTTCTTAAGATTGTTCCTAACACAAAACTTAAGGATTCAAATTCGTAAAAAAAAACTTCTTAAAAATCATTGTAAATAACTTCTTAAAGTTAGGATAGCCCCAGACTTGTCTTAAAACCCAAATAGTAAGAATTATTTAATTAATTTATTGGGTCATTTCAAATTAATTGTTATATTTAAGCATTACAACAACACTAGTTACATATAATACGTAGCAGGACTATACTAGGGATGTGCACGAGTTTTCTGAAGTGACAGCGATGACTGTTAATGTAAACAATGACCGGTCATGATTGTGTAACGCAACCATTTGCTGAATTCAAAATTCAGTAACACCTCTACAAAAACAAGTGATAGGGAGCTTGTTTTTAATTTAGCCTATAAATACAACATAATCTTTAGCAGTATTCAGCACGAATGCGCCCATACACCGCACACATTTACTGTAGCAGCGCACACACACATACTGGAAGCTTTCACATTTAGAAGAGAGTGCAAAAACACAGCACAAAAATGAATGAAACCGATCGCTGCAGCTTGAGACAGGCTTTTTTCAGGTAACTTCAAAAACATGGCACATTAAAAATGTGAAGCCGAGCGTCAGTCAGGCTGGTTGTGACAAAATAGTGTGCGTGCTTATTATGATTACTAGTGTAATCCGAAATCTTAACTTATTTCTTAAGAAGATTTTCGTGAATCCGGCCCCAGATTTTTTTCAAAGTTTTTTTCAAAATCAAAGTTGCAGCTTTGATTTAAATTTAATTATTATCTGATTCTGCTGTTAGTTTTTATTACATACAATCATTGTTTGTAGATACCTGTAATGAATCATCCACTGAAGGCGAGCGTAAGTGAGAACCCAAGTGCAGTTTTATTTACAGCTGATATCCAAACAAGAAACACAGACTTGACTTGACTTGAACAGACATAGCATGAGTAGTCCTCAATATTTAAATTACCTTGACGAAGGCGGAGGAGATGAACAACTGCTGGGTTCATTGTGGAGGTCATGTATTCTGTAATGAATCATCCACTGAAGGCGAGCGTAAGTGAGAACCCAAGTGCAGTTTTATTTACCGCTGATATCCAAACAAGAAACACAGACTTGAACAGACATAGCATGAGCAGACTTGACATAAACAGACTAGACTCACCAACAGCGGGTTAAATACATTCAATAGACGACGAGGGCACAATGGGAACATGAAGCTACTTATAGGAAACAAGAGGGTCACATGACAAGAACAAACCAATGGGAAACAAGACACATGACTAAGACAACCAATCAGAACATGACACAATGAACAGGGGAACCAATGGCATGAATACATGAGGGCAAGGGAAGCATGACACAAACAGGGACCATGAAACAATTACAAAATAAAAGACATGGAAAACATGAACATGAAACAAAACACCACATTACAATACCACATAAATCCAACATAAATGGGTTGTAGATACATAAATCCAAACTGTTGCAAAATTCTCTGATTTCTCTTATTTCCAAATATAGCTCATTCTAAATTTGTTTAATGGTACACACGTTAAGGATTAGTGGACAGGCTGCCAATTAACAAAGTGATCAGCAGTTTCCTTACAAACGTCACAAGTCATCACCTTCATTGTCATACATTCAAAAAAAGTCAACCCGTTTTCCTCCAAAGGCATTTGATAATAATGAAAATCTTGTCTCGAAACATGATGACATAACTAGATAAAAAAAGTTTGTAGACAAACTTTAAGTTTACTTCAAACTTTCTGGCTAAGCTTTTTCAAGTCGTTTTAAAAGCTTGAAATTTAAAGGTTTTCAGTTTGAAATAGTAAGATTTTAATTTACTAGTTTTTAAAAGCTTAAAACCAGCTAAAACTCAAAAGCTAGATTTAGAAAAATAGCTAAAACCAGCTGATTTAGCAACAAAAGTTAAAAACTAGCTAAGACCAGATCATTTAGCCAAAAACATCTAAAACATCTGTTTTAACAAATAAGCCAGCTAAAACCAGTTGATTTAGCAAAAAATGGCTGAAACCATTTAAAAACAGCTAAAATCAGCTGAATTTGGCACAAAAAAAAAAAAAAAAACGGCTTAAAGCAAGCCGATTCATTAAAAAAAAAAAGTTAAGCCCAGCTAAAACCAGGCCATTTACTGAAAACCAGCTAAACCCTACTGATTTAGCCACAAAAGCTAAAAACCAGCTAAAACCAGATAATTTAGCAAAAAAACCCCAGCAAAATAAGTTAAACCCAGCAGATTTAGCCACAAAAGCTTAAAACCATCTAAACCCATCTAAAACCAGCTGTTTTAACAGATAACAGATGGATAGAAATAGTACATTGGGTTTTTCAATCCAACTTAATAATACCCCAACATATAATGTCATGATAATAAAATTCCCATGCCTTTTGTGTCAGCAAATTGACAGTAAATGTTTCTCAATGGAAGCAATATGGCATGTTGCAGAAAAAAGCTAAAGGCTACTTCTGGGGTCTGTAGAATGATGCTCAAAAGTCTTAGACATGCAGTATTTATCAAACACTAGGAAGTGGGAATGGGTTGAAAAAGTGGCCTCTTGTCTCCTCAACAGTCTTAACAGAGCTACTCCAGCAGAGCATTTACTTGACTTACTTGAACACTAACTTGATTGGTCATTGTGTTCAAAAGATGAACAGATGATTGGCTACACTTCTCAACATTAGAAGAAAATGTGGGATGGGAGGCCCCTCTTAGTGGAGTGGCTCTGACAGCGATGACATGCAAAATGATAGAATATAATTTAATTATAACACATTGGATTTGCTTGTGAAGAACTCTCTAATTGTAACAATTTGTTTGTGGGTGCGTTGGCTTGTCTTCTCCTTCCAGGCAAAGAGTGATGATATCTTCTACATCTGGCTGACCAAACTGACTGCCCATCGGCATTTCAAGAAGAACGAGGCTATAAACCTGCACCACGGGGTCCTTCAAGCCCTCTCGACAGGAACCAGCAGCACTTTGCCTGCCATGGCGAGTCTTGCACAGAGAAACCGAGCGATGGTGGGCATTAATGTTCATCTTAAGTGTGATTTGCTTTTGGAAATTAAGTAGCATTTTTTGTTTTTGTTAGATTTCCACTGCCTTGAATTTTCCCCCATTAAGCGGTTGTACATTTTTCTCTTATCTAGATGCCACATTATCAGAGCTCACCATCATTGTTTGGGTCAGAGATGCAGGGTTCCCCGTCAGCCTCTTCATCTCGAGGAAATACTAAAGTATCTGATTGGCTCAAAAAGACACAGGAAGCTGACTTGTGCCAGCTAGGTATGCAATACTAATACCTTTTAATTCAGCATGAGTATATGGAGCCAGTGTAGGTCCTGAAGAAATGTCATTTAAAGGGGTCATATGATGCGATTTCAATTTTTCCTTTCTCTTTGAAGTGTTATTGGTGCATAAAGAAGATCTGTAAAGTTGCAAAGACTAAAGTCTCAAATCCAAAGAGATATTCTTTGAAACAGTTAATAGTCAGAAGATCTGTAAAGTTGCAAAGACTAAAGTCTCAATTCCAAAGAGATATTCTTTATAAAAGTTAAGAGTCAACCACGCCTACCTAAAACGGCTCGTTCTAACACGCCCCCACATGTCTACGTCACGATGTGGGAAGATTTGCATAACGCCGCCCAAATGTTCACGCAAAGAAAGAAGGCGTAACTTTTATTCTCGCTGTAGTATTGTTGCCACCGCCGCCATGCCATGGAGACACTGTGTTTCATTGTGCAAGCGAAACTACTTTGTTTGGCCTGCCAAAAGAGGACGATATCCGCTTCTTCATGCCTAGCGCTGATCCGTGCTGGTTGCTGAGGAAATACATCAACTTCGCGCTGTGGATCGCCGGATCGGCTTTCACCGTGGATGAAGCGGAGTCCAGCCCGGGGTCGTCACATGTGTTTGCCGCAAGCCCGCCGGCCGCTCCTTCGTCGAATCTGCCGGCCGCGCCGTTCTCAAGCTCACCGGCCTCCTCTCACTCAGCCCACTGGCCGTTCCTCACTCTAGCCACCGGCCTCCGCTCACTGTAGCCTGCCGTGTGTGACGCTGTGTTTCGTTGGGAAAGCGAAACTACTTTGTTTGGTCTTCCAAAAGAAGGACACGACTAGAAATCAGTGGTTAAGTTGTATTTACAACACTGTTCCAGAGCACTTCAACCCAAATATTCGATGTGGTAGATCTTTATCACTGTCCCAGTAGATCCCGAACAAAACAGTAAAATAAGTACAAAAATGCATTACATTTATGGGGTTATATTAATGTATCACTGAAGGGTACTGTCTTGAGAAAAGTTTCGATGGCAATGGCATTTTCCAGCATGGCGCCGCAAATGGCAGCAAGGACGCTGAGCTCCGCGATTCTTCTATTGTTTTTGTTTGTTTGTTCTGTGTTTTGTCATTCTTCTTCTATAAGTTTTACCAGAGACGAACTCCTTAACATTAAGCAGCACATCCCAGACAACATTTTTCCGGTTTTTGATTATTCGGACGTTTTGTTGGACATTCTAGTCGGAGGTACAGCGGTGTTGTTCAAACGCGCGTGCAGACGCAGAAGAGGGAAACGCGCCGGCGCCCTGGTGAAGCTCCGCGCACGCGACTTTCGGACTGTGCTCCCAAGCATTCATCTCACGAATGTCCGTTCCCTTCCTAACAAAACGGACGAACTTCTTCTCCTCACCCGCACCAACAAGGACTTTTCAAATTCTGCTGCACTGTGCTTCACTGAAACCTGGCTGGGTGAAGCCAGTCCGGACAACGCGCTTCATCTGCCAGGCTACCAGCTGTTCAGAGCGGATCGCATCGCGGAGTTAACGGGGAAAACCAAAGGTGGTGGATTGTGTTTCTACATCAACGAATGTTGGTGTTCAGATGTAACAACGCTGAAAAAGGTATGCTGTCCTAATTTAGAGGCACTCATCATAAACTGTAAACCTTTCTACTCGCCGCGGGAGTTTTCCTCTTTCATTCTCGTGAATGTGTACGTGCCTCCGGACGCGTGCGTGAGCGCCGCGATGCAACAGCTGGCCGAACAAATAACTGAAATGGAGCAAAGGTACCCAGACTCTATTTTAATCATTCTTGGAGATTTTAACAAATCAAATCTCTCCCGTGAACTGCCAAAATACAAGCAGCACATTACGTGTCCCACCAGAGACAGCACTATTTTGGATCACTGTTACACAGCAATAAAGGATGCATATCACTCTGTCCCACGAGCAGCTTTGGGGCTCTCTGATCACTGTTTGGCTCATCTAATACCGACCTACAGGCAGAAACTGAAATCAGCTAAACCTGTATTAAGGACTGTAAAAAGATGGACTAATGAAGCAGAGCAGGATTTACAAGCTTGTTTTGACCTCACTGATTGGAGCATCTTTGAAGCTGCAGCCACCGATGCCACTGATCTCACCGAGACTGTAACTTCATATATCAGTTTCTGTGAAGATATGTGGATTCCTACCAGGACTACCAGGACATTTAATAATGATAAACCGTGGTTTACTGGGAAACTCAAACAGCTTCGTCACGCCAAAGAGGATGCTTACAGAAGTGGGGATAAAATCTTGTATAACCAGGCCAGGAACAGACTAACAAAGGAGATCAGAGTGGCTAAAAAAAACTACTCAGAAAAGCTGAGAAAAGAGCTTTCAGCAAACGATCCAGCGTCAGTATGGACTGGTCTGAGGAACATCACCATGTACAAGACACCACCCCCACAGCTTGCGGAGAATCAACAATTGGCTGACGATCTGAATGTGTTTTACTGCAGATTTGAAAAGGATCGTCTACCACCCCCCATCCGCTCTGATCTGCACTTCACACCTTCACCTACCACCCCTGCAACCCCCCTCCCTCCCTCCCCCACCATTCAACCTGTGCTTAAGGTCTGTGTAGAGGATGTGAACCGGGTCTTCAGGAAGCAGAAATCTAGAAAAGCTTCAGGCCCAGATGGTGTTTCACCTGCCTGTTTAAAAGTCTGCGCTGACCAACTGGCCCCCATCTTCACACAGATCTTCAACAGATCATTGGAGCTGTGTGAAGTTCCCTGCTGCTTCAAACGCTCCACCATCATTCCGGTCCCCAAAAAGCCCAAAATCACTGGACTTAACGACTACAGACCTGTCGCTCTCACATCTGTGGTCATGAAGTCACTTGAGAGACTGGTCCTGGCCTACCTGAAGGACATCACTAGACCCTTGCTGGATCCTCTTCAGTTTGCCTACAGAGCAAACAGGTCTGTGGATGATGCAGTCAACATGGGACTGCATTACATCCTGCAACACCTCGACAGACCTGGGAATTACGCAAGGATCCTATTTGTGGACTTCAGTTCGGCCTTCAATACCATCATGCCTGACCTTCTCTCAGACAAACTCACCCAGCTCTCCGTGCCCACCTCCATCTGTCAGTGGATCACCAGCTTCCTGACAGACAGGCAGCAGCTAGTGAGGAACGCGCTTCATCTGCCGGGCTACCAGCTGTTCAGAGCGGATCGCATCGCGGAGTTAACGGGGAAAACCAGAGGTGGTGGATTGTTTCTACATCAACGAAAGTTGGTGTTCAGATGTAACAACGCTGAAAAAGGTATGCTGTCCTAACTTAGAGGCACTCATCATAAACTGTAAACCTTTCTACTCGCCCCAGGAGTTTTCCTCTTTCATTCTCGTGAATGTGTACGTGCCTCTGGACATGTGTGTGAGTGCCGCGATGCAACAGCTGACCGAACAAATAACTGAAATGGAGCAAAGGTACCCAGACTCCATTTTAATAATTCTTGGAGATTTTAACAAATCAAATCTCTCCCGTGAACTGCCAAAATACAAGCAGCACATTACGTGTCCCACCAGAGACAGCACTATTTTGGATCACTGTTACACAGCAATAAAGGATGCATATCACTCTGTCCCACGAGCAGCTTTGGGGCTCTCTGATTGATTTACAAGCCTGTTTTGACCTCACTGATTGGAGTGTTTTTGAAGCTACAGCCACTGATCTGGACGAGCTCACCGAGACTGTAACTTCATATATCAGTTTCTGTGAAGATATGTGGATTCCTACCAGGACATTCTTATCATTTAATAATGATAAACCGGAAACGTTGCCTTCTGGTCGGCGCTACAGAGCACTGACCACCAGAACAGCCAGGCACAAGAACAGTTTTTTCCCGTAGGCTATATTCAGCCTGATCAATTAATCTTTCATAATTATACATCGTCCATCACAACTAACATAGTTATCTGACATATTTATATTAAACTGCACACTTTGTAAATAACATATCTGCACACTAATAACATATCTGTACATTTATCTAAACAATAAATTTTTTTCCTATACTTCTATTTCTGTATATAGTACATTAATGTTTGTTTTTCATTTTTTTTTATATTTTTATATTAGTTTTATATTACATCCCTACTGTGTTATTCCTATGTATGTCTGCACTATGTTTGTACTTCTACAATGGAAGCTCCTGTTGTCAAGTCAAATTCCTTGTGTGTGTAAACATACTTGGTAATAAAGATCTTCTGATTCTGAAAATTTTCTTTTTAGCATCATCATATGACCCCTTTAAAATCAACAATATAAAACACTAGAAAAATTATTAGACAATTTTTAGACACGGGTTGCGAGAAACTTCAGTGTTTACAATTATCATTATCAGTTTTTTTTTTGTTTTTTTTTTATAACAAATCGAACCTGGTGTGAAGTAGCATCACATGTTATTTGGATAAAAAAAGACGCACAATCCTTTTAATTTCACACATATTGTAGTGTTGACACTATTTAGCTTGTTTTTTTTTGTTTTTTTTTAAGACTGCTTTTTAATCCGAGTGCTTCAGAATATGTTCTTCACTTCCTCTAACATTCGGCCTCTCATGCACAGAACTTGCCAGGTGTCAGCTGGATATAGCTGAGCTCTCGAGTTTAATCCAGAAACTTCACTGGCATGAGGATGGTCTTCCCATCACAAACATGGACCTTGAACGTCAAATCAGCATACAGGTGAGTCTGCTGTTGTAAATCTGACACAGAATGGACAGGATATCTGTTATCTTTGTGCAGCAGCCAGCATAACACAAAGCAAATGTGAGAAGTAAAAGTGGTGATTATTTGATGGCATTAGCAATGTTAAATATCAAAGAGGTAAACATGGTGCTTATTTTTCAGAATCTTAGTCTTGAGAAACCCAAAAAGAAGTCTGGAAAGTTCTGGGGTCACTCCCGAACGCTGTCAAGAGGCGAATCGCTTGGCTTTGTAAGTTCAAAATGATGTTCCTTGTTTGAGTTTGAATAAATTATGTCTAATTTATGTCTAATATTGCAAATACAGAGGGTCTCATTCACTAACTGATGCATGTAGGCATCAAGGCTCAACAGTGCTAGCATTTCACTTGAGTTTGCGAATAAATAGATGTTTGCAAACTGTATAATGTATTAAGGACCATGCGTGCTAAATAAAGTCTGTCAGTTTAATGAAATTTTAAGGTCATACTTCTTAAATATCTTAGTTGTTATACAATTTATCATTTTAAGAGATCTTAAATTTGGGGATGGGGGGAAAAAACAGGAACCAGCCTAATGTTATTAAACTTCAAAGGGCAATGATTTCATTAAATGTCACTGCACATTTCAAAATAAAAATGTGGAGCTGTTAAAAGCATTTGTTAATACGGTTTCATTTATCATTTTATTATTTAATTTTATATTTGTAATGTTTTTTTTTTCTAAAGTCAATTTTATTATTGTTTTGAACTGCTTGCGCTTTACAGTTAACTCTGTTAACTGTTTTTGTTGGTGTTTTATTTTATTATTATTATTGTTTATTTTTTATTTTTGGTGAATTGTTTTAAAACCACAGCACAAAAACCCTAATAATCAAACTGAACAATTATTTTACATACTTAATTATTAAGTGTATGGAACCCATGACAATTAAAGAACAAAATCATTCAAAACATATTGTTTACTGAATTAGAAAAAAGCTAATTCATAGATAACACGAGATTTCAGTGATAGTTTTGACCACTCAAGTAAGAAATGTCCGCAGTTTCTATTTCAGAAAATCTCCTTTAAGTCACCTTAAATGAATGATCAATTAATCGTTAACCATAATACTCCAAGAAGCATCTACTGTAGTGGCATTTAGTCAACGTAACAGGATGTGCAAATGCCATTTAAAACGCCAGTTTCCTCACCTGAAAGAAACGTTTTTTTCTAGCTAGTAGTAAAAAGCTAGTAGTATTGTAAAATGAGTGATGTGTTTGATCATTTGATAAAATGAAGTGAGGCGAGCATGCTGTGTTTGGGATCATTTTACGTTAAATGGTGATACGGAGTTTAATTTTCACCAGAGTTCCGTAGTGAATGTTGATACATTGGCAATTTATGATATAGTAAGCATTAACCATTCCAACGCAGTCTTAAGTTGAACAATGAAAACATAGCTGTCCTTGCAGCCAGTGTGGAATGTAATTTTTTTCAGCTTTCTAGCACAGAAAAAGCAGACATTTTCCACACCGTCTGTATTTCCACTACAGCAACAAGTACAGACAGACACTCTGAACTGTATTGTTTCTCATAATAATTTAACATTTTACTATAGTATTTTTGCACAAGATGTGAAGAGTTAATACATCAGATATTCAGCCCCTCCAATTAATCATCCAAACAACATGAGTGGTATCACAATAATACTAGAAACAGTGATAATTGTGCCTTAGAGTACAACACCAGTGAAATTAAGATGTAGTGACGGCACTACTCCGTGTAAGAGCTTTCAGCACATCCTCTTCTGTACAGCCTTTTGTCACTCTCTGTAAATGTATCCTCGCGTTCTCTAAAGGTGTGCTCTTGCATGAGTACACACACAGCAAGATCTTCAAGTTAACTGGCTGAAGTGTAATTAACACCTTTTCTTTATACTGTAAGAATAGGCCACACATGATTTAGTTAAGTCATTTTTATTCGTATAGCACTCATAATCCTTGTTTCAGTGCGGCCAAAATGTAAAAGTGTGTGAAACCCTCCTGTGTGTAAGGTGAAAGTGGCAAAGTTTCTTCAGCCATAACCTACGCAAAACGCAGCATTTTTATTAGTCTGAATAAGACTTGATGTAGTAATATGTAACATTTTGGCTTATGCTTTCCTTGATTCCCAGACCACCAGGAGTGTTTTTTCCCCTTAAATAGTCTTTATTTCCATGTGAAAACATTTTATGTCCAAATACATATGTATGCAGGGTTAGTGAATGAAGCACACAATCTGGTTGAATGTCTTGCCCTTTTTATTTCTGAACTACTGCTTCTGTTTCCTGTTATAATAATTCTGTTTCCATCTCTTTCTTTGGAGCAGTTTTCTTCGAGCCACTTGGGCACATCAACTGGCTTGGCTGCTTCCCTTCAGTCCATCCCAGATTACGTTTACTCCCAGCTGTCCACGCCTGCGGTCTCCTCACCAGAAGGAGAGCAACTGCAGTTAGACATCTGTGCCTTGTGTGAAAAAAGTACATGGTTTCATTCATTCTGTTTCTACAATTTTAAATGCTGCTGTAAATTAGTGTAGAACTAATTCTGTTATGTGTCCAAGAAGAGATGTGCATGACAATTCATACCTGTATTGGTGGGGGTAGGGTGAAACCTTCACAAATAGCAGAGGAAGAATCCTGAACCAGTTCTTACGCATTGATATGAAAAAAATGGCTGGGGATGAAAAGAGTACTAAAACAATTTACACACTACTGTTTCTTCCCCAAAAATCCCAAAGAGGCAATGCTGAAGAAGTAGGTGTTGATCTGTGCAGGCCGTCATGTGCTGACATTCATCTTGATTACGTAATAAAGAGGAGGAAGTACAAAATGAGTCGTTTGGCAGCTTGGTTTCCGTAAAAGCTGTTTTTGCACTTACAAGGAAGTTTTGAGTTCTGAAACTTACAGTAATGCTTACATATTCCCCTCATCTAAATGGCATGAGACTGGATGACTTTCTCAAACCTACTAAATCTAGAAAATAAAAATAAAATAAATTAAAGTGATATCTGGTATGTCACTGTGGGGGGAAAAAAATACATGTACAGAAAGTAAGTGGCAACAGTGTACTACATTTACAATGTGGAACACTCATGTTCACACACACACACACACTTGTATATGTGGTTTATTGGAACTCTCCATAGGTTAAAATGTTTTGGTTTACTTAGGTTATCCTTTTTTTATTTTTTTTTATCCCCTAACCCTAACCCCACCCCTAAACATAGCCCTCACAGAAACTTCTGACATTAAAAAAAATAATAAAAAATTGTTTAGTATACGTTTAAGCCAGTTAGTTTATGAGGGCATAGTAACCATGTTTACGCTGTAATATCTATGTTGTCATACACATTTGTGGCTTCATAAACCATCTATTGAAGCACATTAGTATAAAAAGTAAAAACATATTTGAGTAAAAGTAAAAAAAAAAAAAAAAGTTTACTTTAAAACTAAATTTACAACTTTAAATTGTACTTAAAGGTGCAATAGGTGATTCTTCAGAAAAAACGTTATGCTGGTTGAAAGTCTCTTCACATCCCGATAGCAATCATTAAGTTAAGTGGTCTAAAGGTATTTTCTGTGGAAGGCGCAGGACCAAGAAATGTTCATCCAATCAAAACGCTCTGTCCGAGCGTTTTAATTGACTTTCCTACCTGCCTGTCAACGTACTAAGGTTTGTTTAATGGGAGAAAACAAAACGCATGCACAGTGGCCTGTTGCATGAAGCTAGCTGAACAAACTCAGAGGAGGTTTAGAGTTGACAAAACCAAACAAACCCAGCCTGTTTTAGATCAGGTTCAGCAGGCTCACAAAGTTCGATATAAACATTCTGTCAAATCCACAGCCACAGTTTGATTCACTTCTCGCAAGAGTCTGTGCAGTTCACAGTTCTGCTGAAGATTAATAGATGTTATTAAAAATATAATGGATTTAAATGCTGTGTAGCATAAGTTACCGTGACGATGAAACCCGCTCAAAACCAACCCACCTTCTTGAGCTCAAACTCAGTTTGCTCAAACTAAACGAAACCTTATCCATGTATAACAGGCCACATTATCCCATATATATATATATATATATATATATATAATGTGTAATTAAATGCCATGAAATATTTGATTTGACTGGAGTTGCAATATCATTATTTATTTCCCAAGCAGCAAAAAAGGCCATGTGATAAGTTTATATACAGTATATATATATATATATATATGAAGTAAAGAGTCGTTGCTATGGAAATGATGCACTGTCTTGTCTAGTAGCATGGTGTAAACTGGCAGTTAAACACAGTTAACCTAAAAATGAAAAATTTGCTGTTAATTTACATACCCTCAGCCCATCCAAGTCATTAATTTTTTTTTCCTTCAATAGAAGAAGGAATTATTATTATAATAAAGAAGAATTTTAGAGAGTAAAGGATCCATGGTCCTTGGTGATTTATACAATGCAAGTTCAAGGTTACCATAACTTAGAGTGTCAAAACAAATACAGGCAACACAAAATTAATACCCGTGGCTCCTGACGTTATATTGAGGTCTTATGAAGTAAAACTATCGGTCTGTGCACGAGACTGAACATTGTTTACAACATTATTACCTGTAATCCAGAGCCACAGGCAAACAGTCCTGAGCACAAGGGTGATGTCCAGTTCACGAGCGAAAGGTTCTTGTGGAACAGTTATTTTTAGTGAACAGCGAATCGTACTAAACTGTCTAAAACAGTTTGTGGCTCAAGTCATCAGAGTTACTCAATCAAAGCTTCCTTTTGGACGTGCATGATAGTCACTGAACTAAGGAAAGAGTTTGGACTTGGACATGTCCATGAAGAACTGATGATCTGCTAAAACAAGCATGCATAAATTGACCACTTGAATGAAGGGGGAAAATGATTTTCTTTTAATGGTTTGTCATAGTTTATGTAAAACTTTTATTTAAAAGTAAAGTTTATGATTTAAGGTAATAAACAGATTAAAGTGAAAATGGCATCCTCTGCGGCAGTAATACAGCTCAGGTTGATGCATGTGAAACTGCTTCAGCACTGGCTGTAGACTCATGTCCCGAGATGGGCATGGTGCCGCGGCACACATCGGGTGGCTATCACACAGAGATGTTGCTGCAACAGGCGTGTAGCCTCAGAACCCTGGACAGGGCCTTGGCTGCGTTGGCAAATCAGCTGCCTCAAGTTGCTGATGCCTTGGCACACAGCTGGCCCCGGGGACTGCGCAAGTGTGCGTTCCCCCAGTGAGCCTGGTTGCACAAATATTGTGTTAGGTCAGGAGGAAGGAGAACGGGTCCTGCTGGTTGTGATCTACTTGCCCACCAAGGCTTGGTTCTTGGAGCTCAAGCTCCTGTTGACACCCCCTCTCTGGCAAATTAACCTGAGGAGGGAACTTCTTTCTCGGTGGCATGGCACAAATGCCCAGACCTCTGGACAGGGTGTGAGTGGGCTATCACTCAGCACTGTCTAGTCTAGTAGCATGGTGTAACACTATTGGTGATGGTAATGAACCCAATCACTCAAGCCAGAGCCCCCTCTACGAGGCAGCTGTATGAAGGGGCATCTTTTCGCAAACTGGTGTTCTTCCTGAAGAGAAGACCCACAAAGACGCGCCATCGGGTCAGAAAACAAGAGATTCCATATCTATATCCATTGGTGGCCAAACCGAATGCCAGTGACTACATGCCACTGCAGTAGACATACAGTATCTTGCCGTATTAAGGCCAACCATTCATATATTAATTGGAAATTTGTGTAAACTGACATCTCTAGTTGTTTTAGAAAGATACCATTTGCAATTAACTTACTAAAGCTTACAACTTGGAAGCTAGATGGTGCCATGAGGTTATTTTGTTGCTCAATAGTCTACACAATAATGCAAGACGGTTTGGTTTCAAACTTTAAATTTAAATTTGTATTTTCTTTCATTCTTCCTTTCTTTTATAGTACATTCATCTTTAAAATCCATCCATGAATCCCTGGCTCTGGAGCGTGAGCGAGTCAGACAGGCTTGGGCCGGACCTGACCTTCGGCAGTCAACCTCAGATCAGTTGGCCACATTGTGCACGACCCTCTCAGAGGTAAAATTTTTTTCCTCCCTGTTTAAGATGGAGCTAGCGTGCTAGTACACTTCTGACAACACACTGAGCTGCTGCTACTACTAGTATCAACTATAAACACTGCCGATTGAATAAGCTGAATAGTTTGTGGTAAACAAAAGAATGCTAGCCCTTATCTTTTAGAATCACTTGTTTATTCAGTAAGAGGTGTGTGTGTTTTTTTTGTTTGTTTTTTTTATACCATTTTATGTCCTGATATTTGGTGAATTCATTGAAATTATAGACTGTATTGTACTGTCATGTATGCTCTCATGCCTTTTATGCTTAAAGGTGACATCAGATGCCCATTTCACATAAGTTGTCATGTTTCTTTAGATTATTTCTGAAATGTCTGTAACATATTTTGGTTAAAATTCCTCAGCGGTTGTGAAAAAAAACACCCTTTTTACCTTGTCAAAACTAGCTGTTCACAGCGACCCGTTTTGGTGCATGTCTCTTTAAATGCTAATGAGCTACTGCTCACCCCACCCATATCTTCCGTACTACTAATGCGTACACTAACATTAGGTTTGTTCGAGATGCATCGGTGCTGCGCAGACCGATCGGCGTATGACATCAAAGTACCGCGAGTGTGATTAGAGAGCAGACAACTAAGCTTTTGAACCGCTCTCCCGGCACATTGATGTCATACGCCGATCGGTCTGCGTAGCGCTGATGCATCTCAAAATCATCTTTCAGACCTAAGCTATAGAATGAATAACGAATATCGAACATTGCTAACAATAACCAAAAGAAACAAACAAGAATTATATATAAAAAAAACTACTTGCATCTTTCAAATGAATTGTAGGTAAGCTCCATCCTTTAAATGCAATTTTGATGCGAGTCCAGCTTCATATTGCCCGAGGTTTGAAAATCAGTCCGGCAAAAAAATTTTTGCACACAGGGGGTCTGAATACTTTCCGTACCCACTGTATATTGGTGCTGTCAAAAGTAGCGTTAACACAGGCGATTTATTTTTTTAGTTTAACGCTTTAAAATTATTTAATGCAATTAACGCGGGGCGGAGCTAGGGTTGGCCACCCTACTCACAACTGCTGCCTCTGTCTCTTTTTTTTTTTTTTTTTTTTTTTTTGAATGAATAACGAATATCGAACATTGCTAACAATAACCAAAAGAAACAAACAAGAATTATATATAAAAAAAACTACTTGCATCTTTCAAATGAATTGTAGGTAAGCTCCATCCTTTAAATGCAATTTTGATGCGAGTCCAGCTTCATATTGCCCGAGGTTTGAAAATCAGTCCGGCAAAAAAATTTTTGCACACACAAGCAAGTTTTTGCCCACTCTTTCTGGGACATTCCCTTCATCTATAAAATTAAGCCATTTCACTTTTGTTTCATCTGAAGCTGGGATTCTGTGTAAGGATGCCTGTACATCTGAACACGGAGCAGGTTGCATGCCAGGATTGCTTCATTGTTCAAACCCAGAAAAGTGAAAGGCACCATTTTGCTATGTTTACAAAAAGGGGTGGGAAGAGGGCAGACTCCATATTTTGCTCGGAGGCAGTCATGTTCAAATAACTAGCTAGTTACGTCAAAGCCGGCACCAAATTGAAATGGGTCGCTGGATGACACATTTTTAAACTCAGACAGTTTATAACAAACTGGCTGCGTGTTTTCTTTTCAGCTTTTCTGAGCTGGCAGACACAGCAGAAACCTAACTAAATGCAAAACAATCTACAAAAGTGAAAATTTCATCCGATGTCACCTTTAAATTGTACTAGTTACTGACTTTACTTTTGTTTTTAGCTTGAGATGCAGTCACGTTTAACCAGAGTTCACTCTGTGTCACTGTCATCCGATTCCTCAGATGAGTCCTACTGTACTGTGTGCCAGGATCAGGTGTGTGCTTCCCCATGTCTGAAGTTTTAAAGTAATGGTTTTTGTTTGTTTATTTAATATAAATCTCTTTTTGTCATTAAGCAGGCCACCCCATCTCAGGACCGTAAGCTAAATCGTACACCCTCAGTAACAGACTGTACAGCAGAGTATTTTGATGCCAGTGAAGTAATTTGTGAGAATTTGTCTGAAAATGAAACCTCTGACGAATCTGGATTGAGTAATGTCACCACAAGCAACTCTGAACCAGAGGAAGGCCACAGTACGTCTACAGTTAGCTAAACCATCAGCTTTACATGTTGATGGTTATGTAATGACAAATGAATAATAAAACCTTAAAGATAATTAAAGTGGTCCTTATAT